GGTGTTACTCAATCTGGTGTGAATGATGACAGATGGCCTTCCAACACCTGAATTCTAAATAAAAATGATGAATAGTTGCTATCATAATGTGAGGAGTGGTTTCATATATTAGATGCATGTTTAGACAGGCAGCTTTTCATTTGGGACTGTCAGCCAAAGAGAAACGTGCTATAAAAAAAGAGTAGAATGTTTCTGCAAGTGTGGTAGGACTGCTTCATCAGATATGGGTAATCAGAGGTCTTGCATGCACGCACATGGACCCATGCACGTACGTGGGCTGAGAAAAAAAAATTGTGTGCTTATGTATCGCACTAAATGGTTTCAGATCCTTATACAAAATATAAAAAGGACAAGGAACATATGAGGATACAAAACATTTTTAAACAATCATTTATTAAAGGAAAAAGGTTTTGCAACACCTGTGTCACCCGTGTGAAGATAACTGGTTCTGCCACCTTGTGCAGCAACAACTGCAACCAAGTGCTTCCTATAATTGGAGATATAGAGAATTTTGGCCCACTTTTCTTTGCAAAATTGCTTTAATTTAGCCACATTGGAAGATTTTCAAGCATGAACTGTCTGTTTAATACAGCCACAGTGTCTCAGTGGGGTTCAAGTCAGGGCTTTGACTAGGCCACTCCCAAACCTTAAATTTTGTTTCTTTTGAGCTGTAAAGAAGTGGACTTTTGTGCTTTGGATTGCTGTCTTCTTGCATAAACTAATTGCGCTTAAGTATCAAATCACAAACTGATGACAGTTCCACCAATCATGGGAAATGGGCCAGACAGCAAAGCGTACCCACATCATACTACCACCACCATGTTTGACTGTCGGTAAGATGTTCTTATTGTAGAATGCTATGGTAGCTTCCAAAAAATTCCACTTGTGACACATTTGGCCACAAAGCATTATTCCAGATGACTTGGGGGGTCATCAAGGTGTTTCTTGGCAAATGTGATACGATGCTTGATGTTCTGCTTAGCAGTAATTTTCGCCTTGCAGCTCTCCGTGGACACCATATTTGTCCAGTCTCTTTTTAATGGTGTTATAATGAACGCTGACTTTACGAGTCAAGTGAGGCTTGCAGTTCCTTAGGTGTTTGTTTAGGTTCTTTTGTGACTTCCTAGATGAGTCGTCACTATGCTCTTGGAGAACTTTTGGTAGGACAGACTCTTCTGGAAAGATTCACCACTGTTTCAGGTTTTCTCTGTTTTGGGCTAAGGACGCTTGCTAAGGCTTTTGGAGTCGCAAAGCCTTAGAAATGACTTTCCAACTGATATATTTTTAACTTTTTTTCCTCATCTCGTCTGTTTTGTTCTATTTTATTTGCAATTACTTTTTTACAAAGGTCCAGTTGGTGTTGGATAACTTTTTATCCTTTAGTGAATGATGCGATCATTTAAAAATAGTGATTTCAGGTTTTCTTTTATTATGTTAAATTTTATTAAATCTAAAATTATTAAATCTGAAGCAGTTGTGACAAATATGCAAAAATAGAAGTTATCAATAGAGGTTGAATACTTTCTTACAGCAGTATATGTTCACACAAACACAGTAGATGGCAAATGAAGCAAACCAATACAAGTTCTCTCTGATAAGAGTTTGTTGACTTTGAACTGGTCAAGACTGTAATTCTCCTCAGAGCAGGGGACTGAAAGAGGAGTCCTGTATTTCAGCCTTATATAACCCTCAAAGGAAAAAACCACACAGTCCCCGCTGCCAGCCTCCAGGCCTTAAGGAGAGACATTCTCAGTTTAATATACTTCCCTGTGCTCTTTGAAAGACATCTGTAATGAGTTTGGTGGTGGGTTGAGGGGGAGGGTCTCGTTTTCTGGGCATTGATTCTGTATTCAAATAAGAAGACTCTTATTGGTCGACTCTGTGGGTGGAGGTGTGACGGGGTAGACTCGGAATTGTAACTGCACTGCTGTGTAGTACAGTTTAAAATGGCAGCAGTGAACAAGTTCAAGTTAAATCTTACAGTCTACTCAGATTTCAGTCAGAATCTTCGTGAGAACTGCGTAAGTGGATTTTAAGAATAAGTTTCTTCTTAAAACCCACCCACACAAAGATTCTGACATTCACCAGTTTTCTTATTTGGGATTAGTTTTCAGGTAAGAACAGAATCTACACACAGTCGAGCACAAAGGTGTGAATAATTCTGCGCTTTAAGAACACGTCATAAATCTGACGTTGACTTTTTCTTAGGACCTTTCTCAAGAACAGATTTAAGAAAAAACTAAGGAAGATATCGATCAATGAGGCCTATTCTTATGAAGTTCTTAGTGTTTGTCTTCGCAGGTTTTTTCATAAGAAAGCTTTTGTGAATTTGGCCCCTGGCATTCAACAACAGCATTGTTTATTGTTTACATTTGTTTTGGGTTGTGTGAAATCCTGCTGGCAGAGCCAGCGGTGAGAGCAGGGTTGGTGGGTGTTGTTATTCTAATGGTGGGGTTGGTGGGTGTGGTCATTGTAGCGATGGGGTTGGTGGGTGTGGTCATTGTAGCGATGGGGTTGGTGGGTGTGGTCATTGTAATGAGGTTGGTGGGTGTGGTCATTGTAATGAGGTTGGTGGGTGTGGTCATTGTAATGAGGTTGGTGGGTGTGGTCATTGTAATGAGGTTGGTGGATGTTATACTAATGGTTGTATTGGTGGTTGTCCTAATAATGGGGTTGGTGGGTGTTAGTCTAATGGTGGGGTTGGTGGGTGTGTTTTTTCTAATGATGGGGTTGGTGGGTGTAGTTTTTCTAATGGCGGGAGAAAACATGAGAACCAGCAAGGAAAATGCAGGTTGTTTAGTTGGTCACCTTTAAAGGGCGGGGAGTGTGCTGGAGAAGTTATGAGTGAGTGGGCTATGTTATCTATCTATCATGGTCTTGAATTGAATTCAGAGCTGGTGAGAGATTCACAGTCACGCTTAGTGACACACAAGGCTTTTTGGTTACAAGCTTTGATCATAGATTGCCTGTACATTAGTCACTGTGGAAAACAGTGTACATTTAATTTGTCAAACTGAATTTTACTCTGTCTTGGATCATCTAAAGCAGCGTCCATGGGGTGTCTTGTTTTTTGGTGCCATCTTGTGGCTTGAAAGTTGCATCAGTGGGGAGAGCTTCAAGATCAAAGATCTAGAAGACAGTATTATCCACCTCCGGTGTGGGTTTTGCACTTTCAGTAATTTTTGTGCTTGTTGGTTTTAGTGTCTATGGAGAGCTGATTGTAAGGATTACTGCAATATACTATAGAGGTGCTAAAATGAATGGTTAGTTGTAAATGGAGCTAAATAGTCACTGAGACAGATGTTTCTGATCTATAACTTAATAATTTGACAGTTTTATAAATAATTACAGCCCAATACAGTTCAGTACTGTCAAAAGTCAGAGACCTCCATCCATATATTTAATTTCCAGTAAAAATGATGTTTGATTTTTCTGTTTCCTTTTCTGAGTAAGAGCTTCTTGACTGCTACACATCCTTTCAGATTCAGTGTTGTTGTCTTCTCACAGTGGAAGGATGGACAGAAACACCTGTGTGTTTTTAGATCTGAAGAAGCTTGACTTTCTTCTCTCTCTCAAAGATGAAAGCTTTAAATGCTGGTTATCTGATGAGGACAGTTTTGATGGTGTACCAGGTCTTGCATGGTTGTTCGAAGTCAGTTTTCTGTAGTCCTGTATCTTTTTATCTTATGATAATTCTCCAGAACTCCTGTTTTGGAAACACCTTTTCCACGGAATCTCCTTTGACTGTCTTTTAATAAATGATGGGCATGATTTTGTATGATGACCCTTAAGAGCAGACATGAGTAGTAACCAATGTTGATTACATCATACTGACTTTTGAGAAACACTTTGCAGACAAAAGTGTTAGAATTGAATCTTACTGCATCAAAATTAAGAACGTCTTTTTACTTCTCCTGGAAAGTTACCAATTTGGAGATGCGTGGAAGTGACACTACACACATACTAACACAGAAGGGCCACTAGATGGCGACCTTTTCAAGTTTTAAATAAATAGACTGTCGTGACTGCAGTGAGAGTTTACCACAGTGATTTTCTTGTTAGTGAAATGTTGTCTTGGAGATCTGTGTTCTGCACGTGTGTCTCTTCTAACAGTCACAGCAAAGGAAAGTTTTGTTTAAGCAAGCATGCAATACTAGAGAAGACTCTACATGTACACTATCCAAGAAATCTGTTTCTTCTGAAACCGGTGGTGTTAATCTATGTTTGTGTATTTATTTCTTTTTTGCCACAGGAGCATTAGTGAGGTCAGGTACTGATGCTGGATGATTAGTTCACTGTTTCTCTACAGTTCAATGATTTTATATATATATAGGTATAATGCCCCTTAATCATTGGACAAAGCTATAAAAGAACCATCTAAATGTGAAGAGGAAAAGGTTCTATAAAGAACCGAAAGAAATGCTATGAAAAACAATTTAAAACCTTAAGAGTTCTTAAGCAATTGTAGATACCTTAATTTTCTATTTTATTTTTATTTTATTGTTTTTTGTGGCACCACAGTTCTTTTACAAATGCGTTTATTGAGTTTTTAGGAACCCAAAAGTAGTTCCTCATGTCAGAGAACGCTTAGTTGGAGCCTTTATTTTGAAGAATATAATCTTAAGCTTCTTTTTTTATGCTTAAGTTTAGAGGTGGGCAACATGCCAAAATTATATCATCAGAATATTTGAGGACCATCAATATGCATCACTTTTTCTTGGTAACGCACAGGTGCATGTGCGTGCATTATGCAAGCTGTGTGTGGAAATACACTTATTTTTGAGTATTTTTATTTGTTTTAATATAATATTTTACATTTTATACCAAAGTGTGCATATTACAGAACAGTTTTACTGTACATATCAGAAACAAAAAAAATCGTAAAGCATGAAGTCATAAAACAGTATGTACAAAAAAAAGCTGCTGATCATCAGCTTACAATTAACTCAATATCAACAGTTCAATTTTCTGACTATTTCTTAGCATGTTTACCTCAACATTTGTGTTTATATGTACAGCACAGCAAACAAACCATTAAAGACATAACAGACATGAAAGGAAAAAGGTACAGCTTGTAAAGAGAGAAAGTTGATCTAGGATGATAATGTTCATAATGTATTATTATGTTGTAAAAAGGCCAAAAACAGATGCTAGATCAGCAGTGCAGCTACAGTATTTTCTTGTTGGTTAGCTAACTAGGGCTCCAGGTTAACACCATCCCATCACCCAGGGGACAGTAAGAACTGCGCATGGGACGATGTTTAAACCATTTTAGAACACTTCAGGGACAATTAATTTAATGTAATGACAATGAACACAATGTCTAAATCAGTCATAAAATCATGAATGTTCCAGCCATCCATGCCCCCTTAAACATTGTTGCAAGAAAACCTAAACACTTCAATTCACAGATTTCTTTTGCATTTCGGGAATGCAGTTCATTACAAGGAATAAAGTGATGCTTAAAATATTCCATATTTAGTTACAGAACTTCTGATACACACACTGTCATACGTACTGTATGAATGTATTTATGGACCACAGATGTGTGTGTATGCATTGTGTGAGTGTGTATGCATGCATGTGATATGCATGTGTTTTGTGTATTGCTGTCTGATATTTGTCATTTTCTGGAAATTTGTAGAATGGTTCTACAGAAATTCTACAGCAAAATGTAAATTTTCACTTTGGGACAAATATAGTATTTTTTTGAGACCCTTCTAGGACAGTTCTAAAGTTAAGTCTGGAGCCCGGAGCTTACAGAGTCCTAAGCAACTAGCCCTCAGTTTCAATACTGGTTTTAATGTGCCCTCTTTGACTTCACCTCACCAATCAGAAATGTAACACACACATTACATGAATGGCATAAGGACAACAAGGTGTAGGTTTCAGTAGGAACCTATTAACGGTCGTCTTCTTGTTCTGTTGTTGCTAGGCTGTGTGGCTCTTAGCTTAGCAAGCTAGAAGAGAAAGGTAATCATCATTTTATGGGGACTGAAAAGAGAACTGAGGCTTCTCTTTCTCAAAGGGGTTCTCTTGGGGATCATCTAACAGACTAACACAGTAATGGATCAGCTCTTATAACAGAGATGGGTGTGGCGCTGGGCATAATGTGGCACAGGGAAAGCGGGAGGTAAATGCTGATGAAGACATGTTAAAACCGTTACTGAAATAGAGGGCCTCGGAAGATCTTAAATAACTTCACATTGTATTAATTCTCCTTTTGGTTTGTCACAGTAACTTCTTGGCAGAGCTTTCCCAAAAAGATGCAGTGAGCTATTCGGGACACAGCTGGAGCCTGAGTAGACCTGCGGTGAATACAGCCTGCTGTGTTTCTGGATCAGCTCATGCTGTCTATGAAGACATCTTGTTGAGCTGCATTTGAAAATGTGGATGTTTCTTGCTTTTATTTTGTCTTCCAGTGTCTTTCAGCCTCTTCGTGCAGACACAGGGTTATGTTTCCTTGTACCTGAGAAAGATGAAAAGGGATTAATTACAGGAAAAGCTCCTAAACACATACACTTACTACCTAACTGTTCACTGACCAGAGAATATTAGGGAAATGAATCTCACAACAATTTCATTTTGATTCTTTAAGAAATTAGTCAGTGCATGATGAAATTACATTTCCCTACAATTCGATTTGATTTGATTATTTTGCCGAGTCAGAATATTTTTTAAAATACGCTGAATACACTGCGATTGGACAAACTATTTACCAAGCATGCTTATTTATTTATTTAGATGTTTACATTTCTGTACACTTCTACCTATGATTGTGTTCTCAGAGGTGTAAACACTATCAGCTACTGTTTCATCCAAATTTTAAATTTCCATATGGTAAACACTGAAGACAGATGCACCGATGTTTAGGTTCAAAAAGAGGTTTGCTTGTCAGATCATAACTCAGTACCCTCTATTTAGCATCAGGGGTTAGCACGGTGGTCACAGCCTATATTATAAAAAGCTAAATTCTTCACCAGTCTGAACCAACACTACCAACACGTTGTGCAGTGAACGTTGCCAGTTTAGTGGTTTATTAGAGCTACTTTGCGAATGACAGGAGCAACTTCATAATTATCATATCATATTTCATTAAAAGAAATTCTGCATGGTGGAAATGGATTCCGTACCAAAAGCATGGTCGCACAACATAAACTTCTGCTTGTCTTTCATGCTTTTGGTACGGAATCCATTTCCACCATGCAGAATTTCTTTTAAACTTCCTCTGGCTAAAATTGTGATTCTTTGGGTCAAAATAATGACTCTTGTTTTTGTCAGCTTACTAAGACACAATATCAAGAACATATTAGTTTACTTGTTGAGAAAATACATCATCTCCATTCTATTGTTATCTTTTTTATGAAGGTTATAAAAGCTGTGTGCACACAAAAAGAACAACTCTTTCAGTACTGGGTGACAAAGTAGCTGAATTCACTAATTAGTCTGAATGCACGTTTGGACGTATAATGCATTAAAAGCAATCCAAAATTAAAATGGGGAGTACACAACATGTAAATACAGTCAGTTCACATCCATTTGTCAGATTTAAAAGATTTTTGTTTACACGTGTCAAACTATGTGGATGGCCATTATAGATGAGATGCACTAGAACTCTTTTTGTGTGTCTGTGCTTACTTAAAATGTATTTTAGCATCAAGTACTGTTTGTCACAATAACAAATTCATGACTTCAGGAGCAGCTTTGTTTTTGAAGCACGTGTGAGGAAGCAGTCAGTGTGTCCTGTCCCAGCCAGTCAGATGTTTCCACAGATAACGTAAAATATATTTCATTATTTGAATACTTTAGCTTCTTAGACAGGACGCCTAGCCATGCTCTGCATTTTTTAAACTTTATTCACACCCAATAGGGCTGCTTTGATATAGGGGAAAAGGGCAGAGCTTTGATTCAAAATTACTGAGAATAAAATCTCACTACATTAATTCACATTAAAATATTTTTCCCTTCTCCTGTAAATATACCAGTTCTAAATACGTGGTCTTGTTACAACAGCGACAGGTGTTTCTGTTTGTCTCATGTGATGTGTGCAGGTCTAAAGATGGAATGTGATATGAGTATCTGTGCGCAGGAGTGTCTGTGCGTGTTTGTGAGGGTACTGACTCTCTCTGTAGACTAAACTCCGACATTGCTCCCAGTGTGTTCAGTTGCTCCTCCAGAGCTATGATGCGCAGACCGATGTAACCGGACGTCAGGAGCAGGAGCGCCACTCTGCAAGCACAAAGAAACACACAGCTGAGTGCACAGTAGGACATATTATAATAAAGCCAAGCTCCAGTCACACTGCATGATCCAACACAAGTCTGTTAAACTGGTGTGATTATCATACAGTGATATTTAATGCACAGTTAGGCTTCGGGGTCTTCAACATGTACAGGTATGCAGTAAGCCCAGCCTCAGTCATTCTTCATTGAGGCCCTTTGGGTGCACTGTATGGAGCTCATGTACCCAGAATGCATCCCTCATCCTTTATCTTACATACGAGGTCATACTATCTGGGATTCAAACATCCATATGCAAAAGTTTTCAAAGTGAAATTAAGTTAACACATCTCCTACAGAGAACTTCACATTTTAATGCACAGTTAGAGTTTATCTGCCAAACACCTCTGTAGAGGATGTTAACCTATTTTTACTTTAATAACATGTAATCTGACCGGGGACGTATAAACTTCTGCATACGTCTGTATATTTTATTCATGTGGAAATGAGGTGATGCTACAAAAGATAACAGTAAAAAATACACCCATACAAGCAGGTACCAGTCAACATATGGGTTCTTAATGACTATGAGAGTGCAAAACACAGTGCGTGTTGTCTATTAATACAGGGTCCTTAAAAAGTCTTCAACTAAACTGAATGAATTCTAAAAACTTACATTTTCCCCAAGAGGTTATAAATGCATAACAGTGTAATTTAATGAACATCAGTTTCTTACACAGAAATAAGTTTTCTGTTTAACTACAGATTTTACCACTTGTAGGAGCAGTTACTATGCATGCAAAATGGTTGCCATCTTTGTTGAGAGGCCAGCATTAATTCTGTTATGCTAATTGATGTTAAATTCAATTTCATTGTAAATAGCATGTGGCACAGCAGGCATGTATCTGTTAGAACATCAACCAGCCTGAACTGACCCACCACATCAGATACGACTGTTGAAGATATGACAAGACAATGTCTGAATGTTCCTGATTGACCGCATACCATCAGTCAACAAGCGTTTCCTTTAAATCAGCCTCAGTTCCCACCACACACACACACACAAAAAAAAACTATTATGAAATGTGATCATATTTCATCATGTTCATTTAAGGCATCAGACGTCAACTGAATAATAATAAATATAATTTAGTGATAATGGACTTGAATTAACAGGCATGTTTGTTTATATATATACACACACACACACACACAGGCATATAAAACATTAGAGAATAGAAAATCATATAAAACGTTCTTTGACCAGGATGACCAAACTTTTTCATATGACTATATATATATATATATATATATATATATATCAAAATTGAGGCATCATTTTATGTTACAGCTGAACAAAAACAGCCCAGTTACTATTTAATGTGCATTAATTCATGTGCTTCCTTAACTTGGAATACTTTCAAGTGACAAGTATTAAATATTTAGCAAAGAACGCAGAGCAATGCTGTGGAACTTGAATGAATCTCTGTAGACTTCACTTCCAAAATGAAGTTCTATTTATTTCTTTAAGACATCAGAAACTCAGACAGAGGCTTTTACTCTCTTTGCCTCCTTTAGCTGATGACTGTGTGTCTTTAGTACATCTGAACAAATGGAGGAATAAAGGAAGCACAAATTTCTCAGTAAAGTGATAGACGTGGCAGAAGAGAGCAAAACACAACCTAAAGTCCACTTAGAGCCTGAATACTGGTCATCTTTATTGCGTTATCTTGAACCTAATATGGGATCATATAGTCACATGCAAAAGTTTGAATATGCCTGGTCAAATTACATGTCTTTTTGTTTTTAAGTGAACATCCTCTACAGGGAACACACTTAAATTTCTTTCTTCCAACTTTTTTTGCACAGTGGTAATTTATTTGCATATACCACATATAACAAAATATATTCACAGGCCACATTTTAAATTCAGCAAATAAACTAATAAAGTGTGCAGAAGTGTGTTTATTTAAAAAAAACAAAAAAAAACAAAACTGAAATCGAGCGTCCTTTTTTTCCCCCGAGGTCCACCACAATGATATTACAGGAATATAATATTATCCTCTACATTCTCAATAGGGTTGTATAATATAAAAGAATTGATTACTTACAGTACGAGGTAGATGATGAGGAGTTTGCTGATGTTAGTTGTCCCACTCATGGAGAGGAGCGATTTGATCTTCTCTGTTACCATGGTGACCCAGGAGACAGCTATTCAGAGAACAAGTGGTAAGAACATGCCAAGTCTCTGCCTACCAGAATGAATAAATTGGAATTTTTCTGTGTGTGTGTGTGTGTGTGTGTGTGTGTGTGTGTGTGTGTGTGTGGAAAGTGCACTTCAACCTGCGTCCTCATCCGTCCATGGTTACTAAGGTTGAAACTTGTATATGTTTATATGTGTGTGTACACCAATCAGGCATAACATTATGACCACCTCCTTGTTTCCATGCTCATTGTTCATTTTATCAGCTCCACTTACTATGTAGGTGCACTTTGTAGGGTGCTTACAGGGGAGGTGGTCATAATCAGTGTCTGACCTCACAAATGCTCTTCTGGATAAATGGGCAAAAAGTCCCACAGACACTTCAAAATCTTGTAGAAAGCATCCCAGAAGAGTGGAAGCTGTTATAGCTGCAAAGGGGGACCAAATTCATGCCTATGAATTTAGAATGGGATGTCATTAAAGCTCCTCTAGGTGTAATATGTAGGTGTCTAATACTTTGTCCATATAGTGTATAATGCATTAGAGGTTGTTTACAATTGTTACTGTATAGGTAGGTATAGGTAATTACATATACAGTCGGGTGCCAAAGGGAAAACCTTAATAAATGAGCAAAGAAATGTAAGTGCAAGATGCTTTCAGACAGGTATAAGCAACTATATCTCACCATGCTCTGTGGCATGTATAACAATGCTGAGCTGGCCCAGCTGACCGCAATTTAGGATGATGATGGCGAGAGAAAAAAAAACTTTGAAAGATGACTGAATAACAAAAAAACAAAAAAAGAGAGATAATGTCACTCCTGTTTTGACAGAACTGCATTGGCTACTTGTATCCTTCGGGATAGGTTTTAAAGGTCTGCCACTAGTTTTTAAGGCTCTAAATGACGTAGTACCCACTTACAACACAGAATGTCTGTCTGTTTATGTTCCAACACGCGATGTTAGATCTGCAGATATTGGCCTTCTGCAAATACCTTCCGTAACATATAGATAACATGTAGAGACCTCTTTCAGTTATTCTACTTCTAAACTATGGAACTCAGTTCTGCTTTTTATTAGACAGTCAAGCTCAGTGCTCACTTTTAAGAAGCATTTAAAACTGTATCTCTTTAACTTAGCCTTTAATTGAAATTCTGTGCCTGTGCCATTTTCTTATATGATTGAATAGTCATAATTTCTATTACGGTTAAGGTTTATCACCTGTCTGTAAAGCACTTCGAGCTGCCACCGGTATAAAAGTGCTCTATAAATAAATATAATATTCACAGGATCAGGCATCAGGGGTCACTGAATGAGTATGAAAATGATGTAATGAGATTTGGTCTTCACAGTCATCAGCCCCCATTTCAACACTGGTTTTAACAAGCCCTCATCCACTTGGCTTCCTCATTTCCCCTTGTGGAAATACGTGGTGGCATCTTAAAGGAGAACTCCATCAATTGTTCAAAATTTCTACATAATTAAATGTTTGAGATGTAAACAAAATCATTCAGAGTTGTTTGGTGTAAAATGCTCAGCTCTAGGGAAACTTATTCAGAATAAGAATTTATTCAGAGTCAGAATTGCTCACAGTGGTGGTGATAACCAGACCAAGTGTTTAATGTCTCTAAAAGCCGTCTTGTTAATCCATTTATTTTAATCCATTCATGGTGTAGGGTACATGGAGAGCGCTGTAAGGCAAAATAGCCCCATAACATATAAAAACTGAAAAGACAAGTGAAGGTTCACTGGCAGTTTTGGGTAGTAAATAAAATGGTTATATTTGTGTTGAAGACATGGTGACCCCAGTTTCTGGTCACCACCACAGTAAAGAAATCAGTAACTTGCTCTACAGTGAGCTATTTTACATGAAATCACTCTGAATGACTTTGTTTACATCACAACAATGTGAAGGGTGTTAGATGAGCCTACGGACGGGTGAGGGGTCGAGCGGACAAAACTGTTCATAGTAGGAAGCTATTTTAAAATACCTTACATTTCAAAACTATAACATTCTATTTGCTGGGCTTTAAGTTACAAATGCTTAATCTGTTATGCATGATAGCTGATACAGCTTCATCACTCTGCTAACTGGCTCATTAGCATGCTAAAGGCTACACAGCTGACAACAACAAAAAGAAAGGCATTACAACTTTGTTCTACACCAAGTTTAGAGCCAGGCAAAGCAATAAATCACATTATGTGCATTATGCTCCAATTTCTCAAAAAAACGTTTTGCATTGGAAAGTTTGCATGGCTAGCTGATTAGCTCACGGTGGCTAACCTGCCGAGGGGGAGTGTGTTCCATTAGAATAACATGCTTCTCGCTGTCTCCTCCTCTCTTTCTGCCACTTGTGTAACATATGTGTGATGCATATCCCAGTGGTGAGGGCAAAAAAATTAAATTGAAAAAAAAAAAATTAATTGAAAGATCTTAGATCTCAACCCAGCTGAACACCAGTAGGAGATTTTGGATTAGCATATTAGACAGTCTCCACCACCATCATCAAACAACAAATCAAGCAATATCTTTGGGAGGAATAGTGTTCCCCTAAGTACAGTACCAGAGACTCAGAGACAAAGAATCTTTGCCAAGGCATACTGAAGCTCTTCTGGTGGCCCAACACTTTACTAAGGCCACATTGACTTTACAAGCATCACTGCTCAACTGTGATTTTTTGCTAAGATGTGATCTTTCTAACTTGACTGTTCACATTTGTGTAGGTGTGGGACTCAAACTTGTCATTAATGTAAATGAACCTGCATCTTGACATGACCACCCTGCGCATATCCTATTCAATAATGTCAAGTGAATGAATCATGTGATATAAACAGCAAACAAACTAGCCAGCAAAAACCATCGTCATCAAAAATATTTGCTCTAAACTGCTTAGCTGTTCACTTTTAAAGCAAGACAAAGATGAAAAAGGATCAGATGCTTTGCTTTTGCAGCGCTGAATGATGGCGCACGCACAGTGGAAAAAATAAACGCATGAATCCTGAGCATTCTCATTAAGGCCGCATAGCCACAAATTGGATGTGTCCAATGAAGGACCACCTATGAAAGTGGCTTGTGTAGATCAGATTAATAAATCAGATTTGTGTGTGTCACACAGCTCTGAAAACATCAGATTTTTGTCACATTAAGGGCTGTGTGGACACTGATCTTTTGAAAATCTGATCTTTTCAAATCTGACCTGCGTCACTTTCATATGTGGTCCTAGATCGGATACATATGCGATTCGTGGCCATGCGACCTTAATGAGAACGCTCAGATCGGAATTCATGTGTTTTTTTTTTTCACTGCGTGTGCGCTATCATTCAGCGCTACCATGGCAGCAGCACCGAACAGAGCCTGTAAATGGTGGAGAAGCAACACATCTCACCTTTTGCGCCTTTGTCTCACTCTATTAATGCAGCCGAGTTAATTATTTTAACAGTGAAGGCTTGTTCTGACTGTTTGTTTGCTGAGGACGCATGTGATTCATTCACGTGACGTTACTGAGTAGGATGTGCCCATGCGGGTCATTTCAGGACACTGGTTTGTTCACATTCATGACAGATTTGAATCACTTACCTAAACGAGTGTGAACCACCCTGTCAGAGAGATCAGATTTGAGCAAAAAATCGGATTTGAACAATGAGACTCGTAATGTAAACATAGCTTAAGACTCTTGATGTTAGGTTTTCCTTTAATTTGTCACCCATAAAATACATATACAATACATATGGGACATGTGTGCTCAGTTACCTGCTGTTTCCTCCTCCTCTGTAGAGTGCCCGTCTCTGCTGGTGCTGCTGCGTGGCGTGGAGCTACTTGTTGCTTGACCTGTAAAGGTGGTCACAGTAAGTCATCATGACATCTTAAATAACATAGTTTTTCACAGCATATAAAAACACCAAGATAAGACCAATAATAAGGTCAAGCCATCTGAGTCACCATGATTCATTTCTAAGCTTCAGTCCCATTTCCTGTCCTGCAGTATTCCTGCACTGCACAGTCAATTATCATCCCAACTCTAGTACACAATTAAGCTCATGATGGATTTTCTAAGAATCTGAAGGGCCAAATCACAAGTGTTAAAGGAAGATTCTGGTTTTCATTCTCATGTTCTTGTTCATTGTCATGGAAGAACTGGATGTTCCTCTCATAGAGATAGTAGAAATATGTTGCTGATCCACTTTCATAGTTCCTAATCTTTTATGGCAAGATAAAATCAATGAGAGTTCTCTCATAACCAACAGACAGTCATGTCAATCAAATGAGTTTGTTCAGATGACAAAATCTGTTATTTGTAATAACGGCATGTATTTTTCACAATAACGATCATTCTGCAGAGCACCGGTTGCTAAGTAACAAGTCACTTTACACTCCAGCTAACCATTACTTAGTTTCCTTTTTAGCAAATATAAACACAGAAGAACAGAAAATGGATACATGAAATAACTTCTGTAAGATAACATTTGACCTTCAGCCCAGTTGGTCAGATTCTGTAGTCTCAAACTGAGGACGTATTGTTGCTCCTAAGCAAGCTTTTTGGTCAGCAGCTGTGACAGAACAACTAAACAAACTGGAAATAGCCAAAAGCGAACAAAATTCAGCAATGACAATGGGCTGGAAAAGGCTTTACAGACTGTCTGGAACAAAACAACATTCAGGTTTATGTGACAAATGCTGAAAAGGCTGAACTGAACCTGATATTGTGACAGTTTGGCCTTACAAAAACGCCAAATATTTTTCACATGACAGGTGCAAAAACCATGTGTTTTACAAGTAATCACACATTTTTTCACATGTGAACTCATTTTCATGTGAACATACATTCTTTCTCATGAATGAACATTTGATTTTTTTTACATGTGATAACATTTTTAACGTAACTATACAAAAATGTTTTATTCACATTTGAAATTCATGTGACTTTTTTGTAAGGGTCATGGCTTAAACCATTATGTGAAATGGTAATATTTTTGGTGTAAGGAATTGGTGATATTAAAGAACATTTGATTCTTTTAGAGCCTCTTTGCTTTACTTCTATTTTGTATAAATGTTATAAAAAGCAATAGAACGCTAAAGGTCATGTGTTGTGAATAAAATCAGGGCCTCATGTTCAGCCTGTGCCTGTGACCAAATCACAACTATGGTATCATTTGCGATAACGTATTCCCTCTGGTGTTCTGTTGCTTAATTAATAATATATTAGTTCCGACCGCACAATCTGACTGGCTGAAAAACATTCTATCTATGTTGGAAGTGCTAACTATGGTTGGTTTACATGCAACTTGTGGTAGAACTATTTTTTTTTAGCAGGAGAAACTGCAGTATATATTTGAAACAATGTTTGTTTTACTATTTTCTCTCTCTCTCTCAGCTTTTTGAAGTGTAAGTGGGAAGGCAATGGAGGTGCTGACCGTTTGGGATGTCGGCGACTGAGAGGGAGGACAGGGTGCCGCCCAGACTTTTGTCGTGCTCTGGGATAGAGACCCTGCGTTGGTCTGTAGCGTCCTCCTGACTGGAGTGGCTGGAAATCTACAAGCAGAGGACATTGTTAGCATATTCAACATATCATTAGCAACTCTCAAAGGAACAGCAAAGCAACAAATGTGCTAAACAATCAAAACAGAATGAAGTCAAAGATACCTAGAGCATTAGTAGCATCAGTGGAGTAAAGTCGAAAGGAATAAAATAGATTACTTGAAATGAGTAAAGTAGATTACTTTTCTCACTAAGTATTATCGTTTGAAATTAACTAGCAAAGTACAAAATTCTAATTTCCAATAAGTACTTCAAAATGTAACTGAAAAGACGTGTTTAGATGTATGTTGTGTCAAAATTCTAAATTTCTGCAAATTCAGTGTTTGCGATGTAAACAAAGTCAGAGTGGTTTAATTTTAAATGATGTGAAGAAACTTACTGACTCAGATTTCATTACAGTGGTGGTGACAGGAACCTGGGTTCGCAATATCTACAGCGCAAATATGGAATATATGAGCCTACACATGTAATGTGTTTTTTTTTTTTATTGTTATTATTATTATAATGCCAATAGTGGTAAAATGATGGTAAATCTGGTGGAAAAAAAAATCTTTGAGTACTAGTTTTAGGGAAAAACCTCATCACAAAACTACTTCCAACAGCTTCTCTTAAGAGCTTTTAGAGGCATTAAACTTTGGTTCCTATCACCACTACTGAGAACAAATCTGAATTGGCAAGTTTCTTTAGAAAAGACATTTCACATCAAACCATTCTGAATGACTGTTAACAACTGCAGAACATGGGGGAAAAAAATCTGGAATTTAATGTTTTGAGTTGAATTAAAAGAATGGTGACACTATCACAAAATACTACCCTCTATTTCTATTAGTGAAATGTCCTCTTTGTACTTCTGGTAAATATAATTTGCTTTGAAGACCACATGGTAGCACATTAAACACACATTAAGATGTCCGCGCCATAAAGTAAATAAGATGTGTCAACAAAATAAAGTCAGAATCTAATGGAGGAAAAGGCTCAGAGGGGAAAAACACTCATTTTTGTGTTGGAGATAACTGGAGAGCAGAAGACGTAGCAAGATATACTAGTTTAGCAGCAGCATAGTGTATTTTGGCACACTGATGCTGTGAACTATTTATTTGAAGTTCCTGTTCTTTCGGTTGGATTCTTACTGTGTCAACTTCCAGTTCATGGCTGTTTTCTGGAGAAGACGTTAGATGGCTGCCGTTGGCACTTACAGTCTGAAGAGAGAACAGGAGAACGGAAGTTATGTTTCACAGCTCACGTCCAAACTGATTTACATTTTCAAACATCATTTTAAATCTAATATACATTTTAAAATACCACTTCAAACCTTTTTAAACATCACCCCAGCAATTTGTCAGTGGTTTTATTCTTTCACTGATCATTTTCACTTAATGGGACAGAGATGTTGTAAACAGATCATGTCAGCTAACATACACACATTTTTTTTAAGTTTCCTTTTTGATTTGCAAGGCAATGACATATTAAAGTAATGACAATGATCAGTCACAGAATCTTTAACCAGAACACCCTGAGTTAGCTTTACACAGTGAAACGTTGTGTAAATTTAGTTGCTTGAAACCTACATGAAACTAAAACAGAGCATTACATGATCATGTTTAACGTCATCATTTCAAACGACTGGTTTTAATGGGTCATAGGACAAGAAAATGAAACACAAGATTACTTAACAGATGGTTGAGATCCTGACTGACTTTATGCAAATTCGGTAGTTTTCCATTTTGTCAGTTTCCTCAGCCACAAGTTTCTCAAAGCTAATGTTTCTTTTACCAGGTGCACCAACTAGCCCAGTAGCTTGAAACACTAACAGATGTTTCAATAAACTGCTTGTGTCACTTTTTATTCCTCTTTAACCTGCAGTTATCGTGATCCGCGTAGCTAGATTCATTTTTTTTCTCTCTGGATGTTCCCTAATTTCTCACTGTGCTCAGATGTAAACGATATAAAATATTACAGAGGGGGAGACAGAGATGCACTCCTCCATTACCTTTTTGTGCTTCTAGGACAGGATAAGCAACATCAAGTACAGCTGTAACAGCTCCTTAAATATTAATTTTCAAAGGCTAAAAGATACACAGAGCTGATTAAAATACATAGTGAAGGACCGTAGATGGACAGAGACAATATAGATATATAGATACAGAAAAGAACAATAATGACAACTGGAAAATGAATGTTATACAAAGGCTATAAAAATAATTCAAATATGTATATTACATCTCATGTGACTTTATATGGCAAGAACGACAGTGTACCAAAAACAAGCTGCTAATTTGACTATCTAGTGGAGTAATCAAATGTGTTAGTTGTGTGCAACTTGGATTTCTTTTTTCATTGCTTTGTTTTGCATAGAAGCTATGTGGCATGCAACATGCAACTAGTTGCATGAAAGTTTCACCATGTAAAGCCAGGCTTAAGTTTGCTAATGAATTCTGAATTGTAAAATATTTATTTTTTGTTTTGTACACAGTAACCAGCTTTTTCATCATAAGGCAAAAAAGCCAAAGCACACCAAAACATCACCCACCTGTAGTTGTGGACACATCAACTGCAAGAGTTTGAAACATGCATCTCGGTTCCGCAAAGACACAAACAGGTACTGTAAAACACAGAGACTAGGGTAAGACTTGAAGCAACACTAAGAACAGTACCTCTGACTTTAACTGCACTTTTCATAGCATAAATGTAGATGAAAATGAAAGACAAAAGGGAATTTTTACTCACAAAGGGAAGAATAGTAGAACTTCTACTATTCTTCCCTCAGATTTGCACTACACACTTTCATAATTCACAGACATTTAGAGTTTCAGCCCCAACATCTCTGACCAGTTTATAAGCATAATCTTTAAAGGGCCCATATAATTGAAAGCTACTGTTTTCTCACTTTTTATGGAACAGAATTGGATGTAGCATGTAAAAATTGTTAAAGTTTCTTAATGTTTCAGTCGTAATGAAAGCAAACCAAGCCACAAATGTTTTGGAATGAGGCACTAATATATATATATATATATAATATATATATATATATATATATATATATATATATATATATATATATATAAAATCAGTCTTTAAGGGTGTAAAGAATTTGAAAGTGGTCATGAATTAATGAATGACTGTTATTGTACATAAAACCGTATAAACACAAGTGGAGAAAGAAGTCACAAGAAAAATGTAGGATATGAGTCCTTTTATGTTTTTTGCCATTCTGTAAAGCCATCAGGATAAAAAGCTCTAACCTTCTCTCCACTGTTGGTGAGAATTTTGATTGCGTTGGGTACAACCCGTGCTGTGTTCTTTTTCTTTACAGACTGTACTGCGGAAGCATGAATCACAACCTGGGACAAAAGAGAACATTATTTTACAACAGCTGCATATTCAGTACATCTATGACAGTTTCCATTTGTGCCATTCCATTTGAGGAGTCAAAGAGGCTTTAAGGATTTTTTTTTACAGACAAAAACAATCAAACAAAAAAATTTACACATTACCACTAATGTCTTCTGTCACATTAGAGCTTTAGCAGAATGGGCTGTTACTCTTCACCTTCTTTCCACATTATGTTTAATTAAAAAGTGAATCGGAATGGATGCAAAGACGTTACCAATTGCATCCACTTTTCCACTGATAGAAGCTTGGTGTGAGGTAAAAACCTACCCTATAATTAAGAACAAAATGCTGCACGCTGTGGCTCACACACTGCAAAAAAATAATACCTGTGCAAGTCAAAACAACAAAATTAAATTAAGAACACTCTAAATTCATGTGTTTTGACAGAAACTGAGCTAGGTGCTACAGTTTCTCATTAGGTTGAAAGGGAGATTTTTGCTCTGTAACGCTTGTCCAGCCTAGCCACGGCTGCAATGAAAGAGTGCACGTGTGGGTGGAGCATGGACAGGTCAGTTAGGTCTTTCTTGTTGCGATGGCTGCAAACCATTGTCAAAAAAACAAACATAAAAAAAGACTGTTTGTGCCTTTGCTGTGCACAGGGTTGGATCATCTTGGTCTTACCTTGGTCTCCTTCAGCAGAACTGAAGAGTGGAAACATACATGCTGTTCTGACACATACATCCTTCCATGGTAAAGCACCTCCTTTTGAATGGCACAGGTGAATGCTGGAGTGGAAAAAACACACTATTAACACCACAGCACTCTACTGCAGGGCTTTTCCGTTGCCGTGCTGAGTATCCCAGCACCTCTGCAATTAGCCGGCCAGAGTTGAGCCAGGTGGGTAGGAAAACAAAGCCATCCCCCAGGAACACTACTGAGAACCACTGTTGTAGGCTGCATCCAGAACCACATACTACCATTTTAAAGAGTATATCAAAACAGCACACGACGAATAGTACTGCATCCAACGATGTAGTATGTGCAATATGGTAGTATTTTATATGCAGCCCTGTTGCATGTTGCGAGCTACCTACAACATAATTTCCACCCAACTTGACAGTTTACAAAGCAATTTAAAAACAAAGTTGCATGCGACACATTCTATTACTCCACTAGTTAGTCAAATAAGCAGCTTGTATTTTTTGATACACTGTGTCATTCTCACTATAACGTCTTCCAGGTGTAATTTACATATTTGCAGACCTTTATCATTCATGTATATTTTTTACAGCTGTTGTTGTTGTTCTTTTTTAGTATCTATATGTCTTTCTGTATTTATCTGTCTGTGGTTCTTTACTATGTATTTGAATTTTTTATTTGTTGTGAAAATGAGTGTTTAAGTAGTTTTCCAGTTATAGCTTACTTGATGTCTCTGTAATTCTGTCTTAGAACCACAACAGCCCATCTCAGTCTCTCCTTCTGTAATAATTCTTTTGGATCCCAAATAAATCTGGGCTGTGTGTAAAACCAGAGTGTCGAGAGGAGAAAATAAATCTAGCTACGTAAATCAAGATAGTAGCAGGTTAAAGAAGAATAAACAGCTTATAAGCATAATAATAAACAATTTAAACAGATGTTAGCTTTAGCTGGCTAGTTAAGGTAGCTGTTTACAGAAATGTTTGCTTTGAGAAACTTACGTTTGCTGTCATGAACATTCCGTTGATCTGGTAAAACATTTGAAGTATGTCGTTTGACGTGATGATGTGATGCATGATTTGTGTTTTGTTTGGTCACTGAGTTGAGACTGAGAACTATTGCATCCGAGTTTCAAGTAAGTTGCAGGATACTTTGCATTTTGCAACTTAAGTGCAATTTAGTATCATGTAGGTTTCAAGCAAATAGTTGCATCAGTGTTTTGCCGTGTAAAGCCAGCCTTGGGGTCAGATGGGTGGCACTCCTAGCATTTGAAATTACCTTATGTGTGGGTTCAAGATAAACATTGGGGGAGAAATAACTTTTGACCTGTCAAAAAGACCTCAGAAACAAGGGCAAGAGACACTAAAATGAGTCAAAACTCACCACGTGTCAATTCCTCCGCCTCGGAAATCTCTGGGAAATGTTTCTGGAATGTTTTATTGTGGTTCTTGAAGCTCTGTGTAGAAAAAAGTGAAAACAGTTCATTTAATCGTAAAGATTAGTTTGGCCAAGCAGGATTAACCTGATAAAATGTGTTTAAAAGTTACTGGCAGTTCGTTTGTTTGTGTTTGAACTGAACTGATGAAAGTACACAGCAAGTGGTTTTACTTTGGGTTCTGTGGGAATCTGCAGCGAAAGTTGCCAACATTAAATCAACACAATGTTTTGTATACAGTTTACAAGAAATTAACCTTACTGATTCAATAGTTAAAAAACTAATACAAACTAATACAAACAAAAGTGCACAAAAATTGTAAATATTGATAACGAGAAACAAGATAAAAATTAAGGTAAAAAAAAGAAATACAGAAAATATTTCAACAATAGAAAAAAAGACTTTTTGCTGTACCGTAAAGAGGTTTAGTGGATCTATTAAATGATATAAATATTGTTTTGAAAAATAATATTAACTAATAATATCTTGTTTCACATTCCCATCCCACCACCTCCACCTATAATCAGAAGAAAACACTCAGCTAGCTCAGAGACACTCCCAAATAACACAGTACAGAAAAAAAAATGCATTATGGTGTCAGTTTCACTTTGACTTAAAAAAAAAAAGTAACATCATCAGTGCTGTTGCTCTACTGCTCAAGTGCTGTGTGCTATACCAACAAGTGTATTCTGTTTACAGCACTGGGGTTAATCTTTCACTAAGAGTTACTTAATTGGTCACTTAAATGGTGTTATAGTTTCTCTGCACTGGAGTTAACTGCACTTAGTTCTGAAATGGAATATTACTGGAGTAGTTACATGCACTTACGTATTTATACAGAATGGCGATAAACAAATCACTGCTTTTGGAAGAAAACCTCGTATCTCCATTTTTGGCATTTTTCAATTTTTGACGTAATTTGAAAATGCCTGTTGCCATTTACATTGTGTATTTTTCATGACATATATATATATATATATATATACACACACACACACACACACAGTTTTCTCAATGTACAAACTGAATTTGGATGTAATCTTTAAGGTAAGAATAACAAAATGTAACAGAAAGACGTGAAAACTTGTATGAGAATACATAAAAGCTAATTAGCAGAAACCAACAAAAACCACAATCAATGCTGAGAAGCTCCACCCCTAAAGACCACCATAAATGATGACCAGAACTCCTTACAAGAGTGCAGCGTTCTTAACATGCTTTATTATCATGTTGATTTGCTGTGTAGAAATAATGCATCTTCCTCCTAGCTGACTTTCATTTACTAAGATACATCACTCATCATTCCTTTAATCAATCTGAAAATGAAACTGTGGTCTGTCAATTACTTTTAAATAAGCTTAAAAAAACAAAAAAAGAAGAGAACTCACATTATGACTTAACAGTCCATCAATGCGATCAATCCCCTCCTCTTCTATGGTGGTAGTCCTGTTGGACATATTGAAATTGATTAAGGACAAATAGAGGAACAGGAATGGCCGATTTCAGTCTTCTTTGGCAACAGCACAGCACAGCATAACTAGCATGTCTGATTCTGTTCAGGTCATCAAGCACTTAAACTCATGCGTCAGGTCAAGAAAATGCTAAGCTTGGCAGTGCAGCCCTACAAGACTGGAATTCCTTGTGCTAAATGTACATGAATGAGATGATAGTAGACCAGATGTCCTTTAGGCTGGCTTTACACAGTGACACTTTCATGCATCTAGCATGTTGTGAGTTCTCCACTAGTTAGCTAAATTAACTGGTATGTTTTTTGAGACAACATATCAGTACTTTTCAACCACCCAATAAACCATTTTCTAGTTCATTTTCTGTCCATTGATCAGGTGAAATCAATTGTTTAAAGGTGTGTAGTTCGGTGTGATCATGTGATGCATTATTGCCGTTTTGTTCGGCTACTTCATGAAGTATTTGTTTCACGAAGTTGAAATGCTTGAAACTGTTGTGGAAGAGTTGCAAGCAAATAGCAGGACACTTTACATTATGCAACTCAAGTGCAACTTAATTTCATGTAGGTTTCAAGCAACTAAAGATGCATGAAAATTTCACTGTATAAAGGCAGCCTTATGCAATAATATAAATGTCTATGCTTTAGTTGTCATCATGAAATGACTGGAAGAGTTCAGTTTAGCTCATGTTAGCTCCTCTCATATCTCCAAATTGCTAACTACTTATGAAATGGAATAACATATTCTTAAAGGGGCATATTAATGTACCAATACCTGTTGTGGCTAATCTTTACATGACCAATGCTCTCCATGCTCTTTTGTTCCAGGCTGTTTTTTTACTGTGTCTTTAAGACTAATATACTCAGTTGTGATTGGCCTTGTATTGTGCATCAGTGCACAGTGCAGTTCAGAAAAAAAAACACTCTTTATAACTTCAACATGACATCACAAAAACATTTATTCAAAATGAGTAATGAGGTTCTGAACATCTTTTAAAATCTGATATTTTCATTTAACTTTCATTCACTGTGATGCTGTTTCAGAAGAAAATTAATAGCTATTTTGATTATTGGTAACTGCTATTCTCTAGATTTAACTTATTAGCAACATTAGCATTCCAAATACAATATATAATACAATTTGCAACAAATGTAGTGGATGTGTCGCAGTTAGCGTATAGACAATGTACTAACTGTGTAGAGCTGCTTCTGTGGAGGCCCCTGCTGATATCGAGGAGCTCTAGATGTGCTTCATCCAGACCACGGCCCTTCGTCCCATCAGTGCTCCTCCTCATTTTACAGCCTTTGGCCTTCCCTAGGAGTCCTCCACTGTCTGGGGAATAACTAGAGCCAGGGAAGGAGATACTGTCACTGACACACACCACCGAATGAAACTGCTATGATTTTAATGAAGAAATGCATTCTGTGGATTATACCCTGCTTCAGTGCTTCAATTACATTACGGTCTTTATCTGAATTGGTTTGAGCTTCATTTAAATGGATTCATTCATTTTCATCCACTGTAGCTGATTAGATGTAATTCAATTCACAGCAGCTTTTACAGGTAATTTCTGTAATTCTCCATGTGAACTGAATTCTTCTTATATTGCCTCCATTTTGAGTGAGGCAAAGTTCACTCAGCTTTTCCTCAGGAAAATAACTTTTGGGTCGACTCAGGTTCTGTGGGCTTCATCACTCTCAGGAGCCCCTTCTAAATCTTCACCTGCGGAGATTTTGCCTCAGTGAACTCTTAAGTCATACATACATGCATCTCCACCCGCTAATAAAGCACCGATAATTAGTGATGCACTGAAATTTCGGCCACTGAAACAGTGACAGTTGCAATTTTTAGACAAAGGAGGAATTTTGACTAAAACAATAGAGAAAATAGGACTAAATTAAAACCAGTTTGTTTCCTTCACTCTTCTGCGCTGGTCAGCACAGATGCGTTCAAAAAGTTTGAGCTGCAGCAGTTAAACAGTGAAAAAAGTCGGCCAGGAGGAGCCATTTGACCGTATCTGTGAGGGAGACTAGACAAGAGATTTATAATCTCTGTTTACACCAAGTTTCGAAAAGAGATACAACACCAAAGACCTTCTCCCCTATGTTTGATACACAACATCCTGCTCGATACACTGAATACAGCAAAACGACAGAAGCAGAAAGCAAAGTTGCAATGAGCACAATACTACAAAAAATTGGAGATCAAATCTGATGGCTTTAGACTTGAACCAACGAAATCAAAAAAGACTTGTGACTTGACTTGAACTCAAACACCGATGACTCGTACTTTAACTTGGACTCAAGACCCAAAATGGAAGAAACACGGAGAGGTGTCTGACTGCAGATGGGACTACAGTCGACTGCTTTTCATGTAAATGGATTCATTTTTTGGTGTAAAACTATAGATATTTGGATATTTGATATAGACTCCTAATGTCAACTCTGTCATCTCTATTCATCTCTATAAGCTGAAATGAAGTTCAATTCAAAGGAGTATCAATAAACCTACACTCAGCAGTTAAACTGCAGTTTCACTTACTTATTTTGGTTTCTCCTGTCATCTTCATTAAATTCAAACCACCAGTTTTTAGTTTATGCTTTTAATAATCATTAGGCTTAATAGTACTTGGTGTACACCACTGAGTCTGTCATATCCATGTACTATGAGTGCAGTCATTTTGGAAGGCAAATAAATAAATAAATAATAAATAAATAAATAGTTAGTTAGTTATAATAAATGACATTACTTTACATATTACCACATACTATGAATGGGCTCGACTTGAGTCTTGCCTGTTCTGACCATGGACTTGAATGGGGACTTGAGAGACGTTCTAGGAACGTATTAATGGAAAAGATTTGGGTGCCTATTGGACTTCACTGTTTGTTAACCTTTTAGCCTTGTAGGTCCAGCGCTAGATCAGAAAGTAAAATCTGGATGGCAAACATGTTTCAGCTGATTGACTACATTTTGGGTATTTGTAAAATTGTATAAACTAGATTTCTGACCAAAGCACTCTTTTAAGCTCTTTTGTTATTGATGCATACAATACTATAACTATTGATGTGCTGCTGCACAGACCACAAAACCACTGAACATTTTCTAGCACTTTCTGGAACGCTTATCAGATTTCTATACACATTCCAGCACTACTACAAACCAAAAGGTACACGTAATCTACAAAAAGGAGCACCTGCTTGGTCAAATCAGCCGCTTTAAGCTGTCCAGTTCCAGCACCGGAATCGTCAACAGTATTTTAACTCATTTAATGTTAATGTCAGGTGGTAACAGAAGGGATCAAAAGCAGAAATCAGCCATTTAGAATGTTACATGATTAACTGTAATATTGTTAGCATACAGACTGCACACAAAGGCTTCTTTGATGCGAACCCTAAAGAAACTTTCAGTGGAAGATTCTTCAAAGCAGCATTTTTGTGAATGAAATTTGCAAGTGTGATATTTTTAGTTTAGAGAACCTCTTCAAAATGTTAAGGTCATACGCCAATAAGGGTCATTACTAGATCCGTATGTTCCACAGCCCAAGCCAAGAACTTCACTTTTTCAAGAGTGTAGCAATTAACAAGACCTTACCGTCCAGAAGGTTTACAGCCGTTTCTCAAGAATGTAATGAAATGTGTTGCTCAAGGGTAAAACATGCACTTCGACAAGGTCACCAAACAAATGGTTTATTAACTGTCAGCTCCCTCAGCTCCCGCCTACCAAACCGGTATGAGGAAAAATGCCACCTAATACCACCTCCCCATTTGACACACATGTCCAATGATTCACACCTATGTAAATGTTTTTGAATTCACATTTGCATTTGCACTCGACCAAGCAGCAGTGTGGTTCAGCCTCAATGAACACTGCGCTCTGAAGCTTTCTAAATGTTGAGAAACCTGTTTTCACTTTTTTCCAGGTGACAGCCAGACAGCTGATGTGATCATCAGGCCATAATGTGGATCTTGTGAGAATGGCACCACTTTCAAATTCACAAAAATGTCATTCCTGTATATTCAATACTTTACATAAAGAGGAAGGATGAAGACTGGATGCACCAGAAACACATTCTTGTATCAGGAAGAGTGGATCTTGCTTTTTCACTGTATGGGTGCAAGAAAGTAAGTCTGAATTAGGTTCACACTGAAAATGAAAGCACAATGATGTTACACAAATAGCTGAGCTATCATGCAATAGCCTGCAGTAGTACTGAACTGTATTGAACTGTCAGTCAAAACAGCTCCAAAAAAAGCTCCTTTATTTGATCTGCAGGTTTTCTTTTTTGAGTAATGGCTTCTTGACAGCTACGCATCCTTGCAGACCCATAGGTGTTGAGCTGTCTTCTCACAGTGGAAGGATGGACAGAAACACCTGTGGAGTGGAGTTCAATTTACTACTCTCCCTTAAAGTGCTGTTTATCTGAAGGGGAAAGTTTTGGTGGCCAGCTACCAGGTCTTGTACAGTCAGTAGGAGTGTATTTTCTTTGTATATTTTGAGAAAGTTTTGGAAACTTTTTCAGTAAATATCTCCTGAAAAATGAAAAACTCTCTCTCTACCTGTGTTTTTCTGCCTATATACTACTACATTTTCCCTCAGTGGAACACTGATAGACATGTGTTAACTAGATACTTTCCACCATCTGTTTTTTCCTTAGTCTTTCTTAAAAGTTAGCTAGCTAACATGCTATTGCAATAGCCTCCTAGCTAACCTGATGACATGTTAATATTATGCTGACCCATACCTAGTCTCTCACTCTCCTTACCAAGCCCTTCATCAATTACAGTAAAATAATGTGTAAACAGTTTCATTTTGGTTTATTTAACTGTTTATTCCTCATTTCCCAATTCCCAGTACTTTTGTTGGTCCATTCATCATAAAACATTCACATAATCTATAGGGCAGCTGGTGTTTTAAAAAAATGACAAAAATTTGGTATGACATCAATGATGCCCTTTATGTCTATAAGTATCTCCACAGAGTCTCTGTTGAAAAATAATGCCAATAGAATGAGATGCTCTGAAGCAGCTGCACGTGAGCCATTATGCCCAAAGCCAAGCATCAAACAGAGGGGTACAAACCACCCCCCCACCCCCCAGCATTGGGCTGTGGAGCAGTGGGACTGTGTTTTCTAGAGTGATGGAGCACCACCGAATAACTTTGGGATGAGCTGAAGTGATCCAGAACTAATCATCCAACATCAGAACCCAACCTCACTAATGCTCTTCTGGCTGACTGCAATCAAATCCACCTCACAGCAATGTTCCAACAGCTAATGTCAAGCCTTCCCAGAAGAGTAAAGAATGTTACTGCAGTAAAGGGGGAGAGGGGCAAACTCCATATTATTACCCTTAATTTCAGAAGAAACACTGGATGAACAGGTGTCTATACACCGAACATACAGTGTACATGTAATTCTGTTAAATAACACATCCAAGAACACATTTAAACCTACTGCAGCCAGCCGGCCAGCTTCAAAGTCAGCACTAGCCTCAAGGGGAGAAAATCCTCAGATCAGCTTAACCTCTTTCAATCAAACCAGACTGCAGCCTCCCATAGGGGTCACTCCACATCAGTCACTGCAGCAGTAAATAAGCTGTCACACACCTTATACCACACTACACCACACTACACTGGCAGATACAGAGAGACAGCAAAGGCATTCTAGTATTTATGCTAGTTATGTATCTGTAAAATTTTCCCAAAGTTTGCCATATTTGCTTTCGACATTCCTTTCAACTTCAACGGTGCTTTACCAGCATGACAAAAAATTCTACGCGTTTACTGCCTCTCAATAGCGTCACAGAGACAATTTTTAACTTTTTTTGTTTTTACTGTTCCGAAAGTGGCCAATTCCTACCCGCTAGTTAAGTCTTCCTCTATCACACGATGCTACCAGGCTGGGAGGGTGAAGGCTAGCAAGTGCTTCCTCTGAGACACGTGAAGCAAGCCATTATGGGCAATTCAGTTAAATCTGAAATTTTATTTTCAGAATATTCTTTCATTGAAAAATATCCTAATAATAATGCCCCCACAAAAAAGACCCTCAAGACCTTAATTTTTTTGAAGGTGTAAATTTTAAGGCACGTCTTTTACTATGGGTTTGTGGTCTGAATTTGTGGCTATGGGTTTGTGGTCTGAGTTTGGGTTTAATATATGACACCAAGAAGGTGTCGATCTAAAAGTTTTTTGTCTTTTAGACAAATGCTGAACATGTGTCCACCTCAGCTAAAGTTACTAGCCTGGTCACATCGTATATCATCTCTTACTTGTTAGCTCAAAATCAGCGAGTTCGTGTTAGTTAGCTGACAAATTCACTAAATGATGTGGAAAGTTTTATTCCGTTAAATCTATACGAGTAGAGACTCGTAGTAGAGACTTGTAGCTGTGCTATATACTATCTGTTACCTGGTGCCAGAGACCTACCCTACCCTTCTTCCCAAAGGAGCTTCTCCTCCAGTGCGTGGTAGCCTTACCCCGCCCTGGTTCTGTGCTAAACAGGGCTGGGTAAGATGACTCTTAAATGGTAGAGCGAGCATCCCAGCGAACACTCTCTCTCCCAGTTAAGGTGTCCTTAACACCATACTTTTGGGAAACTGAACTCAGATACAACACCATACTGTAACACGCAGGTAGAGCCCTCTTGTGGAGAATAGAGAGAGTTTAGAAATCTCAAGGTTCTTTAATTTGAATATAAAATGTTAGAGAAAAGCTAATTTGCTTAAAAAACTCAGGGTAAGATGAATCGTAAATGGTGGAGTGAGTATCACAGTGAACACTCAGTTAAGATGATCGTTATGGGGAACACTAACTGCCATTCTGTTACATCAGCTAACAGATGCCTGTGTTGGCTAGCATTGCGCTATAATTGCTTTATTACACAAATGTCATCTCACACAAAAACATCAAGATGGTCCAAGTTTTTGTCAGTTACAAAGAACTAAAACTGGAACTAAAGAACTAAAATCTGATTTAACCTAGCAAGACAAATGTACTCTATCAAAACACTGTTTTTCACTGAAAGAAGTAACTACCTCTGTTTTCAGTGTGAATTGTCCACAGTGTCCACAGATATGCTTTATGAGAATTCACTAATATTGAAAAATGCTGCCCAGGTAAATGTTAAAATCGAGAGATTCCAATATGGCATTATAAGGTTTTGAGTTTTGGAAGACAAACTGTATGAATTACAACAAACTGCAACTAAGCTGTGAAACACAATCATAAAATAAAATGAGTGAGAGTTCAAGTAAATCTCTAAGCACTTTGCCTGTTGAAATTACATAAATTTACAAATGATCTGCATTCAGTCAACATTTTCAGACAAGTAAAGTGCTTTTGACACCATTTTCTATCTTCTTACTGAATCCCCAACACCCTAAAACCCGTCATGAGTAAAGCTGAAGGCCACACTGGAAATGAAAATAATTGGCAGTTTATGAAGAACCCAGTGCCAGTGATTCAAAGTCTCAGTCTTCTTTCCTCATGTGTTCACTAAAGAACTTCAAAGGGAACGCCACACATTTTTAAAAAAATTCTGCATAATTAAATGGCTGAGACGTATACCATTGAGAGTAGTTTGGGGTGAAATGCTCTGTTATAGATAAACCTACCAAGTCAGAATTGCTCACAGTGGTGGTGATAGGAACCAGGCATCTGAAGAGTTCAGTGCCTCTAAAAGCTCCCTCACAAAAAGTTATTAAATGAAATGGTTATGACACGCTGCCTGATGTCTGAGACATTGTTTTGTGACAAAGTTTTCGCTTAAAATGTATTTTAATCCATTTATTTCCATTCATGGAAGAGAGGATGCAATATAGTCCGCTAAGAAAACACACTTTAAGATTTATGACTATTTTACCATCATCAATACTCCATATAAAAACTCAGATGATGCGTAGGTTCACTGGTAATTTTGGATGATAAATAAAATGGCTATATTTGTGTTGTAGACATTGTGACTTCTGGTTCCTGTCACCACCACTGTAAAGAAATCTGAGTGAGTCAGTCTTAATAAAATGAGCCATTTCAAATCAAACCACTATGAATCACTGTTTACATCTCAAAGGCTGACTTATTCAGAAATTATGAAAAATTGGTGATGTTCCCTTTAAGTTACATGATCTGTTGTCTTGTGGAGTAAACTTGAACCCAAAAGTGAAGTTAAGGATGCTGTTTGCTCCTTGTTGGAGTTCTCCTGTAAAGAGTAGCCTAGGGCAGGTTTCTACCGTATAAACTGTTGAATGCAGAGTGCAGCTGCTTGTCTGATGATCTTCACCATCAAAACAATCCGTTAAGTTTATAGTTCAACTCAAAACCAAATGATTTAAATGGCTGTTAGCATAACGATGCTAAACGTGACTCAAGAAGCGTCACTCACCCCAGACTGTCCAGTGAAAACCGCCTGTTAAAGTGTTTATCTCTGCTCATGGTTCCACACAAATGAAATCTTCATTAAACAGATGTAAAGCTCAGCTCAGGCTCTTACTGTCCTGTGACTTTCTCCCCGTCATGCCTCTGTTTTCATACAAAACAAAACCAGGCGGCGTGGGTTAGCCCCTCCCCCGCAGCAGCTATGGACACAAAACCACGCCCATTCCGCCACAGAGCCACACCCCTGTCAACGGTTACCACAGATGCTAAGCATTCCTTTTTGCACGCGGCCAGAGTCTGTCTGGAGTTTTCCCTGAAGGCACGTGACTGTAGCTGCTGCCATGTGCCGTCAGGAGAGAGAGATGGAGAGGAGGGCGGCCTCGCGCGCCTCACCTCTGTGCAGAGTGCACTCTGCCACTGATACACATCAGGACAAGGAGGTGATAGTGATCAGAGCACGAGAGGTGACCTTTCACTCACAGGAATTCTTTAGGCTCTTATTAAATGAGGAAACGTGGCTGATGGTGCGAGTAAACTAGAGAGAAAGTGAGTTAAAAAAATAATAATAAACATCTAAATGTTATTATTTTGTTTAATCTTTTATTATCATCACTTTTAACATTACAAGCACTTCTTTATTTGCTTTGGCAACAGCTGTAAACTGCAGTTTATGCAAGTACAGAGTGAGTGAATTCAACAAATTATGAATCTAACACAAAATTCTTATCTGCAACATTAGGACCACATAACAAAACAAATAACCTGCACTGGTTTCACAGGAGAACTCCAACAAGGAACTTGTAGCATCCCTAACATCATTTTTGGTTTTAAGTTCACTCCACAAGCCAACAAGTCAAGTAACTGAAAGGGGAACTCTTTTTGAAAAAGTCAGTCTTTGAGATGTAAACAGTGATTCCTAGTGGTTTGATGTGAAATGGTTCATTTTATTAAGACTGACTCACTCAGATTTCTTTACAGTGGTGGTGACAGGAACCAGAAGTCACAATGTCTACAACACAAATATAGCCATTTTATTTATCATCTGAGTTTTTATACAGAATATTAATGATGGTAAAATAGTCATAAAGCTGAAAAAGTATGTTTTCTTTGGGGACTATTTTGCCTCGCAATCCCTCTTCCATGAATGAAACTTTGTCACAAAACAATGTCTCAGACATCAGGCAGCGTATCATAACCATTTCATGTAATAACTTTCTGTAAGGGACCTTTAGAAGCACTAAACTCTTCAGATGTATGGTTGTTATCACCACTACTACTGTGAGCAATTCTGACTCGATAACTTTATCTAGAACAGAGCATTTCACACCAAACCACTCTCAATAGCTTTGTTTACTGTGCGTGCAAGTGTAACTGTTTCAGAGACTGAGAGACAGAGAATGCTTTGGCAACACTGTCATGCCATATAGTCATGCCAGCTAAGCTTTCTTGAACTGAATTGACTTGAAAATCAGAAACAAAGACGTAAATCTCTGACATCACAATTCGACTACGATTGTCTCAGAAACAATTCAGCACCCAGAGTTCTTGAGCCTGTTTATCTTATTTGTTTTAATTGTTATTATTGCTATATTGTTTGTTATTTTATCAATCATTCTTTGTTTTATATAGTTTTTTTTATTTCTTTTATTAGTTTTTTCCCCCCAAATGTCATCCATAATTATTATGGTACAATTCTGGAGAGGCAGCCTCCGTTACTCGTCCAACATAAAAACCTACCAATTTCCCTCGGCTGTTTTTAACCAAATTTCCATTCATAAACTCCTACAGATACTATATTGACATGATTTGGAATTCATATTCCTGTTCCTTGACACAGATGGCTGTGACATCACCAGGGATCGACCTCACAATCTCTCAGTCAGCCAGCATTTAGAAGGCTGTGCTAATGAGCTAACAGAGCTAACGAGTGGCTAACGAGATGCTAATGAGGACTCTCATCTTCTACACAAGGTAGTTTCTCCTAGGTGGATATTATGTCAACATGATATTTGTCAGAGAAATACACTTTGTTTCTAGATCTAGCTAACGTCAGCTATAATAGTTAGAAGTTAACCTGGCTAGTGATAAAATCCACGCTATCTGAGTAGCAAAGTGTAACATAACATACTCACAAATACAAGCAAAATTGTTGTGATTCATTGAATTGCAAACTTGTATATTTACTTCTTGCAGTGACACATGGTGACTGCATTACCCCGCATTCCCAACGACAGCGAGGCGACGTGACAAGATGGCCAGAGGTCTTTTTTTTTTTTTTAAACGAGAACTGGCGATTTCCGGCAACAGGAGGCAGTGCAAATGTTGGCAATGCAAAGTGGGCGGAGTCAGCAATGCAACAAAGTTGAGTGGAGCTTTATACAAATAATGAGCGAATGATGGGGTGATTACCAATAGAAATTGAGCATTCCTACTAGACATGGAATAATGGCAGCAGTGCTTTTGCTGCAAATAGACAGTAATTGTAAAGACCAAATACTGTTTCCCTCACATACTGACATACACAGGGATTAAATAAAAATAAGCACACAAGCGATTTCTCACCAGGATTTTTTTTTATCTTAGCAGGAATGCCCCTGATTTGAGCTTCGCGACAGAAAAAGCATGGCAACCAACAGGTGGAGTTCAGAAACGCCCACAGGCAATAAGTGATCAGTGATTTGGGCAACAGGAGGCTAAAAAGTCGCTGCCTGTGTGAACGCAGGGTTAATTTTATTCATGTTGGAGTGGTTAACAGAGTACTCAAGCACCCACATCCCTAGCTGGGAGTCCAAGAAAGCATAAATGGCCTTGTTCTCTCTGGATGAGTAGGATGGTCCTCATCATTCAGCACAATGCTAGCCATTTTACTATCGTAAAACAATGCCTCAGCATATTCTTAACCATTTCATGTCACAGCTTTCTGTGAGTGAACTTTTAGAAGCATTAATTGTTTTGAACGTCTGGTTTCTATCACCAACAATTCTGACTCCGTAAGTTTCAATGCAACATTTGACATCAAACCACTCTGAATGACTGACTTTATCATAATGGTTTAATTATGCAAGAATTTTGACAAAAAAATTGCAGAATTCTCCTTTACTGAGCTGATTCAGACAGAACACACACACGCACACACATAGACACACACACAAGCTCCTTATTTTAACCCTGACTATATGTTGCCTTTTGGAATTTAAAGCACATCAACACAGGTGAACAGAGTTGACACCAGGTTGTGCTGTATCTGATAAACTTTGCCTTATTGCACTGTTACGCACATATGGTATCTTACATCAGACGAGGCTGTGAATCTCCAAACATGTGAGAGTAGTAAATAAACTCCATGAATCCCGTAGCTTTATTATTCTGAAATTCTTTAGTGACATAGAATATATCAGCAATCATGCTGCATAGGTTGCATTGCCTGCTAAGTGTTATGGGACACTGCTGGAGCCATGCGTGGAGAGATCACGTCATTATATTACATATAATCTATATCATGCTGCTATGTTATATATGATCTATATAACTGATAGAAACTATTTTATACAATATTTTATATAAAATTATGTAATATGATTGAAATATAATTATTGAAAATAATTATACTCCTATGTTTGCTAGAAAAAAGATCCAAATATGAATAAACAATACTGACACCCATCATCTTTAACACTAAGCAAAACAATAATTTTTATGTACAAACTGAAACCTTCACAAAGCAGTACAGTTTTATTATAAAGGCTAAAGCCTCTTAGCTGTTGTGTCATATTTCATCAACAGTGGTCGTCATGGTATGGCTGGTCTATTGTACAGAGATGTGGATTAAAGTTACGTTGCCATGCCTTCTTACCCCCCTCTAAGATGCGTTTTAGTGCCATTTCAAACCTGCATGGAGACAAAGCAAACAGTCGCATGCAAAGGTTTAAACACCTCTGGTCAAATTGGTGTGTTGATTTTCTAAGTGAAAGTAAGTTCCTCTACAGAACAACACACTTAAATATGGTATTATATATCTGCACAATTTATATTTGCTGAGTTTAACATGTTGGAAAAATAAAACATAACTATAAAATGTGCCATGACATCTGCACTGAAAGCACAGCACAAGTTTGTTCTCTATAGACGACATCATTTGACCAGAGGGACCCAGACTTTTGCATATGACTAACTCACACACTCACACACACTATCTAAACCACTTACCCTTCTGGGTCGTGGGGGGTGCTGGAGCCTATCCCAGCGGTCATAAAGCGGAAGGCAGGAAACACCCTGGACAGGTTGCCAGTCCATCGCAGGGCACGACCATAACTGTATCGGGGAATTCTTTTTCCTGCATAAATATTTATAAATGTGCTTTTTTTCTAGATGTTGTTGTGCAGAAGGACGGACAATAGATGCCCCCCCCCCAAAGCAACCAGAGGTGAACAATAGCTGAAGCCATTAGCTGGTTTTAAACATTTCATGCTGCAGGGTCAGAGGTGTCAGACTCCAGTCCTGAGGGCACACTCGCCTCAGGATTCACCACAGTTAATTACACAAGCTTTTCATGGGCTTAACTGGTCATGTTACAACAGGGACAACAGTGAACTCTTAATGACCTTAACCCTTAAAAGTCTAAAGTCACTGTCATTTTGCTACAGACTTTTAAAAATAAAGGTGCCAAAAAGGGTTCTTTGAAGTGACAACATAAAAGAAACACTTTTGGTTACTCAAAGAAAAGGCTCTCAAACCTGAGTTCAGAAAGTCCCGTGTGGTCCATATTTTTGCTTGGAATTTGGGATTAGTGATGAGAATTCTGGCTCTTTTCAGTGACTCAGATCAATCTGTTCAGCTCACAAATAAGAGATGATTTTGAACACCCAAACAGCTCTACATTCAGTAAATGGCTCTACATTTCAACAAAACCTTATTCTACCTTCTAATTACCAAATGAATAAAAAGTGCATTATGTTTGTTATTATATGAAATTGAACTCAGGTTAAGTAGTTTCACGGAATGACTTGAGAGGCTGGACAGTCATCATCAAACAAAGGCACGTCTGAGTCAAAAATCAATCTAACAAGACAAACTTTGAAACGCAGCTAGTTACATGAAAATCACCAAGAACAAAAACCAGAGACAAACTAACACAACAAGAAACAGGTGATGGAGATAATGAGGGGCATAGCCTGAATGTTCCAAGTAGAACCAGAAGAGGGTTC